GGTGGCGCGGCGGCGGCCGAGGGGGGGGGTCAAGATACGTGGACAAATAAACAAACAAAAAATACAAAAATGGTCTGCGCCGAAAGATGGGAACATGCGCGTATCTGTGGGACAAATCTTGCCCAACCGCCCACAGGCAAATGCGACCAGCGACGAAGGAAAACACCGCCAATATCACACAATCCAACACCCAAAATATACCTTAGCACCAGCGACGAGGAACTCCATGATCGCGGACCCGGTGTGCCCCCTTAGCCCGTACTGCTCCAGCCTCGCCCCGCCGCCCGCCGTCGCCGCCGCCGCCGGCGCGTCCCCCTCGCCACCTCTGCTGCTTTCGTTGTCGTGAGCGGCCTGCCCCTTGCACAGGGTGCGGATGCGGTCGACGAGGCGGTGGAGCAAGCCCTCCTGGTCCAGGGCCTCGACGCGAAGGACCACGTCCATCTCTGGGCGGTCGTCGCCGTCGACCCCGTACGAGGCCGGCGGCTTCTTGTCGAGCTGGAGGACCATGTGCTTGCCCTGCATCATCTCCACCTGGGACGTTGGTTCACGGTTGGGGCGGGGGCCGGGGGTCATGCCAATGCTTTTGGTTCGTGGTTGTAGGTGTGAGCTAGGTGGCGGGGGGGGGGGGGGGGAGGGGATCGGGGATTTTGGTTATATTGCGGTCGAAAACAGAGGTGTGTACGGTTAAGTTTTCCTGATTGGATTTCATGAGGGAGGTAGGGAGAACGGCTGTATGAATGAAGTACACTGCTGAGACGCGCACCACCAGCGCCAACACATCCAACAGCAACGGGAACTCACTACTGTTGTACAGTACCAACATCGTCAAGTCAGAAGCGATACCCGATTCCAACACGCGGGGCAAGAACAAGACACAACAACCAACCGGCCGAAAACGGCAACAAAAAACACGCACATGCACACTCCGATACAAGATGGAGGTCGTTTCAACGGCCAACCGGTTAGCGCGGTCGATGCTGCAAACTGACAATACACTTAACAAAGAAAACACGCGACACCACACAAGAAGAGACAGACCTGTCTAACGATGTCCGCCGCGGACGGTCTCTTCGCGCTCTCCTTCTGCAGCATCGACCGGCACATGTCCTTCATGGCCTCCTCGCCCTTCGGGGGCCCCCACGCGTCACCCGCCGGGAACTGCAGCCGGTGCGCGTTCGTGAGCACCACCGTCCGCTCCATCTTCGTTCCGAAGGGCGGGTGGCACAGCTCGAACATGAGCATGCCGAGGGAGAACACGTCCGTCTTCTCGTCGTATCTGCACACAAAAACAAACAAGGCAAGGACAGCAGCAGTCGAGGCGGGAAGTGATATATTTAGTGCAGTTTTAGAGGAAGAGAGAGAGGAAAATGAACGTTTCGTCGTATCTGCAAGGAAAAACCAGGGTGGAAAGGCGGTATCCACGGTAAGAGCAGCAGTAGAGGCGGGAATGGTTCAGTACAGTTTTAAGCGGGGGGAAAGAGGGGGGCGAACATGTTCCTCGGTGTGTGCACACTTCAAAAAAAAAATCGTGGCCATTTCTTTTGGTTTTGTGACCCTCCGGCTGACGAGCGTCCAAACACAGCAAAACGGTTTATCATCTGACGCCAGATTCACACGCCTTTCAAACCAAGGCACACGCACGCATGCCGGTTGCATGTTGTTTGTTTGTTTGTTTTTCTCTCATCATTGGATTCTGTCGTCTGCCCTTTTGGCCCCTATCCTCCACTTCTACCAGCTAGACGACCCAACCGGGGTCACACAGGCGGGGGGGTTGAACGCCCTCCTGCGGTTCCTGCCTGAGATATTTTTATCGCGAGAAGGGTACAGCAATTCCTTCCCTCGCGACTTATGAAGTCGATCAAGTCTACTAGCAACGAGCTTTGCAGCGCGTCGCTTCCAACGGAGACCAGGACTTAATTAGCGGGATGAAACTCACACGTATGCTCCACGGAACACATCTCCGTGCTTCTAGCAGTCCCGGAAAAATAAGGAGGCGTGCTTCCGCATTCACACGATATTTTACATCCTCGGTACGCGCATGTTTATCGCTGCCCCCCCCCCCCCCCCCCCCCCCCCCCCCCCCCCCCCCCCCCC